TTGCTTTTCTGGGTACTTTCTATCTCTTTTGCTTGATTAAGTTCTAGGGGCAGACTAAGAGTAACAGTGTTTAATAAATGAGTGAACTTGATTGATCTCGATTCCATATTTGATTTTTTGAATTTCCATTTCATTTTACAGGGAAAGTAATAAGTATATTCCTGCAATTTGTGCTGTGTTATCAGGTGCAGTTGTTAAGTATTTTCTGTCAAGTTCTAACTTCTAATCAAACCAGTGCTATTACTTTCTTATTCAATTGCTAAGTATTTTGTAAACTCTTGGTTTTATTAAACATAGGCACAGAAGACATTGGAGTATCTTCTTCTCAGTTTGAAGATGTTCCTGTTACAGTTACTACTTCAGGTACCAGTGATGCCGGTGAACTAAAGGTATGTTTTAAAAACAACAAAAATCTTTTGGGAAGCTTTTATATTTAATATTTTCTGGAAGGTTGGTAAGAACATGACATTCTGCAGTGCCCTTTAAAAAAAATTACATTCTGCAGTGGACTGTCGAAGTGAAAAGTATGATAATGCAAAGATATTTAATGGCATAAACAGTGATCATGATGACCTTTGCTCTCTCTTCTTGTTTGATGATAAACAAAATTCTATGGTAGATGGTTGCAATTTTTTTATACTATTATAAATTTTGACCACATACATTCACACTTTTTTTCATCAGATAAACGTAGAGGTATCTGGTGCTAAAACTCGAGCAATTTTTGACGAAGTTTTTGACAAAATGGTTACTGCAGCCCAACCAATACCTGGATTTCGAAGAGTGAAAGGAGGTAAGATTTTAAAAGTCTATTATGTTCAAATAGATTACTTTTTGGTCATCTTCATTCTTCAGATGACATCATAGTCAATTGAGTGGCTTTCATCATATTTTAGACTGGTATATGCTATGGTTTGGTAGTATGGATAATAATAATATCTCTGCATAACCTAATGAGATCTGTATTTGCCTCCAGTTCAGAGTTTGACTCTGCATATATTGAGTGCATGCTCTGTTGTAACAAATTTCCATAGGCGATGAGGATGTTGGATCTTTGCTCTCGCTGCCGTACATTTCCATTCTGTCTGTTAACAAACATGTGACGGTAGTTCAATCTTGTGAGGGTAGGGGTGTAACTGGTATAATAGTTACCAAATAAAAAAGGGAGTTTCACTAAAACACCCAAAATGGGGGCTGAAATTATAAAAAAACCCAACACCCAAAACACTTTATAAACACACCCAAAACCCATCATTACACACACTCAAAACCCATTTATAAACACACCCAAAAAATATACAATTGTTGATTTTGGGGTTGATTTTGAGTGTGTTTCTATGTTTAAATAGTATTTGGGTTTTTTTATAAATACATGTCTAGGATTGGGTTTATTTATAAATTTGTAAATAAAAAATTTCATAAACATCTTCTATGGATTAAAATTATAATACACTGCTGACCCCTTCCAGTCCTCAACCATTCTATTAATTTCTTACTCAAGTTGCCACCCTCAATGATAAAGTTGATTTTCCGGGGATCATTTATGTAATCCTTCTATTAGCAGTAAGATGAAAATTTAGCACATATATTAAAAGGTATGTATGGAAATTACAATATCAGATTGAGAACAAATGTTTTGTTGTGTTGTAACTTTGAAATTAGGAAGCACTTTGTAATGAAGCTTCTTGCAATGAATTACCAAAGACATGATTTTCTATCGAATTTGATATCAATTTATATAATAGAACTGCTGTAGAAACACTGAACTCAGAAACGAGATATAACAAGACAAAAGAAGAGCAACAATAAAGTTTCTAGGTTCTTCCTTGTTGCTTTGCTTTAGTACAGCTAACTAATTTGACTTCTAGACTGAATTACCTCTTGTGTATGTTGTTTCTTCTACACATTCCTAACTTCTTTTTCTTCATTTCTTCCCCTGGCTGTATGTCGCTGACAAATCAAATCTCAATTACCAGGGAAAACACCCAATGTAAGTTTTTAACTCTAAGCATGGTTATGCAGTTGATATGCTGAGTTGGATATGATTAATATCTAAATGGAAAATGTTACTTCAAGCGTAACTAAAGTTTTTTTCTGCCACATGATTGCTTGCACCTCCTAGCTAAAAGGGCTTTGAGATTTTTCTAGGGAGGAACACCGCCTGCAATTTCTATCTTACTTCCGTAAATTGTGTATATGCGTCTTCATATACAATCTCATTTTCTTATCTTGAGCCATGTTCTCAGGGCTTTAGCTGCAAAACCTCAGCATGCTGGGTGGATTTACCACATATCATACATGCAAATACATGCATAGATGAGTTCCTTACGCTATCAAGGCCAATTGGTCTGCCAAAAGAACTTGTTTTTAACCTTGTCCATCCCAGACATGCTTTTCTTTGTTTGGAAGTTATTACCCTGCAAATGTAACTCTGACTGTTGTCTCCCCTCTGCGGATGTGACCATTTCATATGCATCAGCAACTTAATTTTGTTTTTGTTGATTACACACCTACACAAAAAGCTACTGGCTCCCTTCAGAGAGAGAGAGAGAGAGAGAGAGAGAGAGTACACTGGCACACAATAAATTCTGTATCTTGTTAATTGTGAACACAGAAACATTTTTTTTAATTTGTCTTATTTTCTGTCTATCAGATACCTAGAGACATTTTGCTGGAAGTCCTTGGACCTTCTAAAGTTTATAAGCAAGTAATCAAGAAAGTGATCAATTCTGCGATAGCTGAATATGTAGAGAAGGTAGTTGTTTGGTATTCTGATTTTTATTTTTTTTCCTTGTACATGCTTCATGCTTGCATATTGTTGTTAGGTTAACTATGAATAAGCATACTTGTTTAAAATAATTAATGTTTACTAAATTTGTCCTCTTCTTTGTATCAAAGATCTATTACTATCAGCCTAACAGAAACTCCAAACGTCTTTGCAATTTGACCAGTGCATGACATCATATTTAGTATGCATAGAGGTGAATCTTCCGGTAATAGTTGCACCACAAAGTGTGCTCTTTCAAAATAACTGCGAAACTATAGTTTTGACACTTTGTTTATAAATTTTTATATAATCCATTACTTGTTTTACTTACTAAAACCTCACTTCATAAGTAATTTATCGGATTGAAATTTTGTGCACCATATTTCAGTGACGATCCCTATTTCCTTTGTTTGATGGGCATCATAGTTAGTTACCTTAGTTGAAAGAAGGTACCTTTGTACGAAAAGGTTGACGTTTTCTTATTTATAAATGTATGAAAGTATTCTTCATAAGCGTCTAAAAATGCTTTTCCTTGGAAATTTGTTCATCTCATTCTTTTATTCTCAAAGCATGTACGTGATCTGCATGTTTTTATTTTTCCTCCAATAAAATGGATCTCGATAAGCCCTGAGGTTGTATTGTTTTTACTTTCTAATTGGTGCAGGAAGGTTTAAACGTTAGAAAGGACTTGAGAGTGGAGCAAAGCTTTGAAGATCTTGAAGTTGCTTTTGAACCAGGTGAAGATTTCAGCTTTGATGCTGTCATTCATCTTCCCAAGTGAACGAGATAATATGTATATTTTCCTTTTCCATTTTTCAATTTTTGTACGTACTTTGTTTAAATCTCAAGCAAAGTTATTACACATCCATGCCTAAACTGATAAGGGGATCAAACCGGAAAACAGAGAATGATAGAGCCACCTTGCATTTGATTTGCCAATTTAGTGTCTTAATACTTTTTTTTTGGATGAGATCCAAGGGTGTCCACCGCCGACAGTAGTGATTAATCCCTTTCGCCGCGGGAGCTCTCCAAAGGAGGTAAACAGCTGGCCACGAAATGCGCTCCATTCCCATGGGCGGCGATCGAACCCCCAACCACATGGTGAAGGAATGAGGTGACTTACCACCACACCACTTGTATGTCTGTTTAGAAAGACATAATATTCAACGTTAAAATGAAATGCTCGTGCGTATATTGAAAAACCCACAAATTTGCTATGTACAACCAAACGTGTTGAGCCAAAATGAAAGGCGAGGAGGTTGATGAGTTTTGAGATTTATTTACATCAAGACAAGTAGCTAACTTAACGGAAAACGTGTATTGGTTATGGATTTGGCACAAATTTATTGGAGGTGGGTACATTTGATCTACCACATCCAATGACCAAAATTGTTGGAGTTCGGAAAAGTCCAATTTCCCATGTGGGAGGAAGTTCACAACCTCAGCAAATCCTACCCATTTTCTTTTTCTCCTAAGTTGGGAATTCTTTGATGGAGTTTTTCTTCTTATAGGAAGGAACATTGATCGTTATTTTGTAATGATGATCAACAATTACTTATTTTCATAGATTTGAATGAAAGTTTGCATATCCGCATTGGTCTTATAACGATCTTCACGAATGTCGACTATAACATATCCAAATTTGAGAGCATTCAGACTGTGGTGTGGTGTGGCCTTCTCGGACACATCGATGATTAGACGCATATTGATGTGTTGTGGCCTTCTCGGACACATCGATGATTAGACGCATATTGATGTGGTAATGCTAACTTAAAACATAAATTCTATCATTTCTTTCAAGCCATGGGAGCAGTCCATATCATGGAGGGCCTCACTCTCCATGGCCTCACTGGAGCCTAGAATCTTCATGGTTATCGTCTGCAAGAGGAACCAGCTACTAAGATTAAGATTCTCTTCACCATTGCCGTTAGTGGATGGAAACCAGTGTTAAGTTAATCTTTGTTATATAGAATGAAGTCAATGCTTAAAGTCTTTTCTTAATTTAATTTTGCAGGAGAGGACTTGAAACTTTCTTCAGTTAATCTATTGCCTAGTTTACAAAACCAGAACTTAAGCAAAACCTTCTTAGATCATCTCCAACCATTGGGGTGGAAACCCAAATTTTCAGTTTTGAGCCCAAAATTCTTCTCCAACCCATGTATTTTGGGGGTGGAAATTTGATAAAGGTGAAATTTGGGGTGGAATTCAAGTCCAAGTTTTGCCTGGATTGGTAATTTGTGTGGAACCTCTGTTTTGTAGCCCATGTGAAGAGGAAAAAGAGGTGGGCCCTGCGTGACAACAAAGCTGTCTGGCCAGCAGCCCTTTTGCGCAACACATGTCAGCTTCAGGAGAGAAAGACGTTGGAATCTAACTATTGAAAAAAGCTAGGTGGTTTTTTTTAATTGCAAAAGCTGGGTTGTATACTTGTTTTTATTTTTAAGTGAAATTTTATTATGCTTTGGAATTTTAATTTTTTTAGGTTAAAATGTTCACAAAATTAAATTACGAATGTTGAAACAAAAATAATATCAAGAAAAATTAACAACGAAAAGAAATTATAGGTTAATCATTCTTAAACAATTTAATAAAGTTGTGGACTCAAATTATGAGTCTACAAGATTGGAGGAAAAAAAATTTTGAGTCCTGAAAATATATGAATTGTATTTTGAAGGGTGAAAATTTGAGTTTAGCCCCAACATGGTTGGAGATAGTCTTAAAAGTCACCAACTCAACTCCCCGAGACAGCTATTAGCATCAAGGGGCAGCGATGACCAGGACCCGCACCCTCGAAAAAAGATAAAGGCTCTCGTTCGGAAACCACTCCTCCCTATATCTAAAAAGCCTTCACCTCGTTTAAAGAAAGCCCTCTCTGTGAGCTAGACAACGAGTCAGCATTCGTCCAACTTTATATGTTTACAAAACTCAAGCAATTGACTTCTTACTATCACAACAATCATGAATCTTGCATTGAGGGCACAATTTAATCCACCACCAAAATTAAATATGAGAACGCGACTCTGTTGTTGAACTAAATTAAAGTTTAACTCTTCTCAGTTGAGACGTTAAAGAAAATAAAATTTGTTGGGCATCTGATTTCAAATGGAAACTTGACATACAGTGACTCAATTTAGTATGACCAAGAAGTTGGATCACATCTAATCAAGTTTTCTTATTTGATGTGTAAGGAATAAAAGCCGCCAAAAATTATCTTGAGAAAATGATTATTCCAAAAAAAAAAATTCATACTTAGTCAATATTTTTTCATGTATGATATGAATGCATGAAGGGACCTAAGGTTTTTTTTTAGTTTGTGAAATTTTGATTTTTTCTTTCTAT